AGCGGTGTATACATTATAGTAAAAGGTTAGCGGTGTATATATTATAATAATAGGTTAGCGGTGTATACATTATAGTAAAAGGTTAGCGGTGTATATATTATAATAATAGGTTAGCGGTGTATACATTATAGTAAAAGGTTAGCGGTGTATATATTATAATAATAGGTTAGCGGTGTATACATTATAGTAAAAGGTTAGCGGTGTATATATTATAATAATAGGTTAGCGGTGTATACATTATAGTAAAAGGTTAGCGGTGTATATATTATAATAATAGGTTAGCGGTGTATACATTATAGTAAAAGGTTAGCGGTGTATATATTATAATGACAGGTTAGCCTTGTATATATCATAATAAAAGGTTGACAATGCATATATCATAATAAAAGGTATGCGGTGTATATATTATAATTAAGAAGTTAGCGGTCTATACATAAAACTAGTAAGAGCAGGAATACATCTGGTTTCACTTTGTTTAACGTTACAACAAATGGAATCTTATTATCACATAGATTTATCAACGCTTATCAAATGCTAATATATCATATACTGGGAAACTAGGTCAATGTGTATGTAAATATAAACTATAATTGCCTATCTTAATATCCTTAACTTACTTCGCATGTCAACAATAATTACGACTTCCTAACATAATATCTCGTACTTACATGTACTTTATATGTAAACATCAACAACCTATCACAGCGACAATTACGTCTCTCATGTGTTCCCTATGTAAATGTCAACTGCGATTTCCTTAACAAATGTGATCTTGTACTTTCAATGTTATTGTGCATGTATCAAGCGGGTGAAGTTAAATGTGAAGAGGAGTTTGCTATCAGCCGATATGAGAAGAGCACCATATTTGTTTTTCACTATCTCTATAGGTGTTATTTATCCGGACCCTAGAAAGGTAGGGGATTGTGCTGTTGTCCCACGCACTTAACGTCCTTCTGGGACATTGATCGCCGTCATGGTTATGCAAGATGTGGAGTTGATTCGATCCAATAGCGACGGATACGTTAAAAACACTATAACTAAGCACAATTTATGACCATAACAACAGCATGCGGCAAAACCTATACTGCAGATATTTTCTCAATATAATGAACAGAAAAACCATTACCGAAGTTAATAGTTTCGTTCGGAAAATTATTGTTTTCTCTTCACTGTTTTGGTTTAGTCATTCTGTGTTAACGTTGTTTACAATGTTTTATAGTTTAATTTAATGTGCGTTTGAAAGGGGACAATATTAACAATAAATAATGTAGCGCTTTTTCCATTTGTTTGTCTTGATACAAATATATTCTTTGTTTGTTTTATATATCTTTCATGTCTTGTTCCTTTTGCTTCCGGTTGTTTGTGTCCTCAGTCTCTTCACCTCCTACATGCCAATCTTAACTTGGCATACATTATGCACACGGACCTTCCACCAGGTTAAACGCTGGTCCAATTTACCTACCGCATGAGAATCAGAGAAGGGCGTTACCCTTACACAAAAAGGAGGAATTATATTATGATTTTCCCAAGACGTAGATCGACCATGAATAAAGAGCAAAACTTCCGTCAAATGTCTGTTAGCACATCGATGAGGAATGTTTCGGGTATATATGTGTATGTGTGTATCTTAACTCTGTCGTTAGGACAAATCATCATTTAAATCAGATTTTTTTTCTCAATCAATGTATGATTTATTGATAACTATATATTTACCGTGTACTTTAAACAATATGATAATTATATATATTATTCTTTGCAATATGTAGAAAGTAAATTGTAATATTAAAATTAAAAGAAAAAACACCCATATTCCAGTGCATTTTCCGTTGTTTTTCCAGTGGCCAAACACAAACTTAATTAACTTAAAATCTCAAAACATCTTCCATTAAAAGTAAGAAAAAACATCCCCAAAAGTACAACAATATAGAAACAACAACTGCCAGCTCGACATTCAAAGGCGATTAAAGGAACGGAGGAAACTTCACACAAACGAAAGTGATATCTTTCGCAAACAATATAACAAGAGATTGTAAAGTAAGTTCTCAACGAATTCTTTTATCAACAAAGATTGATATAACAATAAAATAGCTGATATTTCTTTTTAATAAGCCATGTGTTTAATAAGCCATGTGTTTAAAATTCATGCAAGATATCACTACATTGCGCTTATTGAGTTATCAAACTGTAATTGTGTATCGATTTTAAATTGATATCAAATGAATAAAGGCACAAACATCGCATGTTGCTCTTTGTGACATCAACTGAACAGGGAGTAAAAACGCTAGTGAAACAGTTATGCGTTTTGGGTTCTTTCCTTTTTCTTCCTCATTTTTTTCTTCTAACTTTTCATATTACATCCATTTACATTTACATGGATAAACATATTTAGTGTTTTTAAAGTTATCTTCTCACTTCACAGGTCTGGTTTTTATATTTAGTTTGTCTATTTTTTTTTAAATACATCAGAAATATTAGTATAATAATGGGAAGATAATTACAAAGTGTACCAAAGACAATTAATCTAATTTTATCCAACAGGTGTCATTGTTGATTCCTAACTAAGATTCGTCAATCTAGTAGGCTCTATGGATCTGGTGAATATAACGTATTGTATTTATAAATATTGCATCATTACTTGTGAATCGGGATGACTAACAATGATACATAATGAAAATGCGTTTCCCTTTTATTCAGAATTAAGTTTATTTGAAAATAAAATATTTTATTTTTTTCATCTGATTCATTTTACCAATATTTTTTAAAGAAATATTGAGAATCTACATCAATATATGAAATGATATGCAAAAACAATCGCTGACAATGGACTTACTAAAATAACTCTAAAAGAGAAAATAAACATTTTATATTACGCCTTTATAATTGTTCTAAACAAGTTATATTGAATTTAAATTAAAAACAAAATGAATTGATTATCACTGCAGAGCTAATGTGCTGATTCATAATCGACTTGATGAAGTGCACATTGCTTGTCAAAGACAGTATGGATAGTTGACAATGACAACAGACAAAAGCGGTGGATATTTCATTGTAAGTGATGTTTCGTGTTTAAACAATAACAATATTGTGTCTTTTAATTGAGAAAAAAGTAGTTCAGTTTTGACAATTTAGTAATTTAACATAATTAAAACGTTTTCTATTGTTTGTTTTAAGGTATCAGTTTGCTGAAATATATAGAATACTTTTGTGTCCGGTGGGCAAGTCTTGCTGTTATTTGTAATTTGTACAATATTATAAATACAATAAAAGTGACAAAAAAACAAGTAACTTGTTTAGCGAAGACAATTATCTTTACTTTCAAAATACAAACAAAACAATCATTGCTATTTTTGCGGACTTAGTAGGGGGTTAAGTATTTGTGATTGGACAATTATAAGACTAGTCATTATCTAATCTCCTTTAAGTGAGAGTTATTACTATAGCAATTAAAAGTTTAATTTCTTTGTCCAATTATTTCTTTTCAAATAAAATGCTAATCAGCAGAGATGAGTGTCTCCGTAAATAATACTTTGTTTGCTTTTAAAACAAATACATTAGATATGTCAATAGCTTAACAGTTTAAAAGGAAACCAATCAACATACTTTCCCTTTCCTCTTATCTGCAATACAACACTTTAACAATTAAGTACATATTTACTTCACAGTCATCATTTGTTGTTAAATCACAGGGTTTTGTTATTAAAAGAGGTGTCGAGGAAATGGACTGTTTTGTTCAGTGATCTATAGTGTAAACTAATACCTTGATGGTTATGAGTGTGCGCGAGTCACGCTAGGCTTCCAAATAAAAACACCTATGATTCACCAGTCGTTATCAGCTGACAAAAGAATTTAAACAAGAATGTTAAGTAAGGTAAATTAATAAATGCTATTTTTTTTTAAACATGGGGTAAACAGATAGGATACATTTGATTTCTCAATATATATTATTATGATATCCAAACATGACGTATCGATACGAATACAATAAATCAATAAAAGTTTATCTTAATATCTGCATTATTTTTTTTCGCTCGAATCATACTATTTGTTATCAGTATATATTCAGATCTCTGCTGGTTATATCTAAAACATTATGTAAGGAACTATTATAAAGTGCGGTAATGTCATAGAAAATACTCTTTGTACTAGAAGACTGACCTACATACAAATGTATCATAGTGTGCCAGACATATCAAATAAAAGCAACCTCCTCCCCTACACAAAAAATAAAGAAATCATCCTTTAAATTCCACTGTTAATGTAAAATTTTAAAAACAGAAAAGCATTTTAAGATAATTAGCAAATGTCTGACTACTGAGTCACACTGCTTAACAACCAAATCAGTTCATCCATGAAATAAACTTGCCGTCAGCTGTCCTTATGCAAATTACTCGTTACAAAGTAAATAAACATATATCATTATCAACTGCAAATATTAAAAATCTTATATTTAAAGTTGTATCAGGGTATGTTTATGTTGTAAAAAGGCATAGGTGAAGTTCAGTAGATTATATTATATATAACTATATTGATAATATTGTTGAAATGAAGTCAAACATCCTATTATTAAAGTATGAAATATAGTCCACAGACGAAATGAACTTCACAACTACAGAGCTTCACAACTACAGAACTACATAATTTGATGCCTCAATATATTTAATTGACCAGTTATTTGTGATTAAATGAGTGATCATGGCTTATTTCATTACACAGATTGGTCAAATCACACCCTGGTGAACATCACCGCGGCAAATAAGCTACAGACGAAACACGCTTTATGGTGATGAAAGGACTAATTTTCAACCAGATCCCTCCGATCGTCTCACTGTCATTATCTTGTCTGCTTAGCAGTGTATTGATCTGTTTGACGGATCTGTTACCTGCCTCGGAGCTCCTCCCACTTGTTACTGATTGGGCGAGGAGTGACATCGGCAGATACACGCGGATGGTTAAGATTAGAAATACTAAATAGGATTTTCACTACTATTGCCGTACAACAATTTGATAGCAATTTCAAAAATTGTGACGATGCGTATCATTTAAAATGTATTTCACCTGTGAGTTTTTATTCACTGTTGAAATAAGTCTGTGAAGCTATCGTCTTAAACAGTTGTACTAGGGCCTTGTAGCGAGACCAGCACCACTCACGCGAGGCTTCAGCAGTTACATCAGGGCTAATTGTTTCAGATCCACCTGTGTTAGAAGTGAATATTTGAACATTATCGTTTTGCTTAAAAATTAAAGCCGGAATAATGACAAGTGGTGAAGAAAGACTAGATGTTGAGGACTGTGGACCAGATTCAGACTCGGAGAAAACTATGTTGGACAATGAAAGTGTAGAAGACAGATTATCGCCTAGAATACCACCGGCGTCGCCAGGGTCATCGGACTATGATGATAGACTGCCCCTACCGATGGATTTAAAAAAACGGTCAAGTGTGGACAGCACCTCCGCGTTAACTAATAAAGCTAAATCCTCATTTCTCATTACAGACATTTTGTCAAGGAGAAGTGAACAGAAATATTCCAAAGACTATAACAAGCCACATGTTTGTCTAGATGTTATGGGGCATCAGTGTCAGACTTGTATAATAGAACCGTCCAGAAAACGTAGAGACAGTTTCCGAGATACGGATTCCCCATCACACGAAGATTCCGCAGATGAACAAGATGAAGGTTTGTTATCATTTAGTTGATGTAGAACTCTTAGCATTAAATCTATTTTAAACGTTATTGATATAACACCTACGTTATATTGTATTCCTTGCCGCCTGGTTTAGGTTCGATTGGAAAACTTTGTGTATTGTAAATAGTTGCAAGGATATTCTCATATTGTGTCATAGGACTAAAACACAATAAACGATTCACCGTGCTGGTATTTCGTGAACTTAAACATTCAGCGTAATAATTCGGAAAGGTGTGTATCAATCGTACGAGTTTATAGTTACAACTCTGGCGTTTCATTGTTTGATTTATAATACATTCGTATACTGTTAATATGATAATTAAAAATGTAGACAGTTATTCAATATTGTAAAAGAAATAAAAACAGGGATAAAGAAGATATCGAGGAAAGCATTCAGGTCAATGTGGGGATTCGAACTGCGGTATAATACACCGGATAGACGTTATATTGTGTACGATTACGGCATGTTAAAGGACATCTAGTTCACTGCACATGCTACCAAATAAGCTCTTCAAAGTCAGTACACGTTCTCCAACCTATTTACATTTATCAATATTAGTAATATCAATAAGTTCAAACAAGTACATAGTTTTGCTGAAAATAAAAAGCGGCATACTGCAGATGGACCATACGTATAAGAAGATAATTGAATACCATAGAAATCGCATGAAAGGACCACAACATATTCACACACACGCGCACACATTGTGAAGATTGTTCATTTAATCATATTTTACTGACAAAATGTGAACAATTAGCACGTTAGCATGATATTCTATCCATCTATTTAACATTTATAATTCAATATCATTAAGCGTACATAGATATCATATCCCTTTTACACTGACGAAAATGATAACGGTTTATATTGGTTAGATACATGTTAGTATTTGATCTGTATCAAGTCATCAATCATAAAACTTTTGTATGCATAAGTTAAATTGTATATCAGCACATTTATTTTACATTTTCACGTCTACACATTTGAACTCATTCGCCATGTTGACATTGTTACAGATGAATCCTATTAAGATCTATGAAATGATTATGTATAGTGAACTCTAAAACAAACTGATTTCGTGGGGGTATATTACAAACACAGAACAAGAGGAAACATTAGAAAACTAGATGGAGCCAAGACAAACATATGTTTACAAAGTGTTGCTGTTAGTGCCTGTAATGAGGTAATAGACACATCAGGGGTCACTGTAATACGTGTTTATCACCCCTGTGATCATCACCTGGTCACGCTAGGTGCTATACAAACTATAATGTGGGGACTTTAAATTTATGACCTACGATACATTTTTTTTTTTACAATTATACCAAAAAAACTCAAAATCTCTATTACTTAAGTAATATGGTCCTCTTTTGTTTTTCTTGTAAATTCAATAAGTAAAATATTTTAATGAATTCAAACTTTTAATTTCTATTTATTGATATATTTGCAATTGTATGAAAAAGATAAAAAAAAACCATAAAATCTAAATACATTTTTACTATATTTTCTAGTTCGCATTTTAACTATGAATTAATTTGATGATGCTACGATTAATTAATAGGATTCGCAGCGGTCGGGGCGTCATTGCGTTGCATCACACATCATTTAAACACGCGGCATCAATTAAACACTGTCTGTATATATGAAACAATCAATGTAGGCCTAACGTACACATATAATTTAATGTTACAGCATCGCAATGGAAATATAAGTTTGATTGTTATTCAAAGACGGAAACTAAATTCCATTTGCAATAACGACTTAAAAAAGGAATTACATAGTGATAATTAGCCGGTAGTTAAAATACTTTCAAATATAAATTTCTTATATAATGTCTGCTCTAATGTTATTTTACTGTTGTTAGTATTGAATTGTCACGAGATACCGTAATATCTCAATAATTAAAAATAAAACCAATGATAATTCTGACATATAAAATAAATATTATCCCTTTTCCAAAATCTTTCTACATATTCATTCTACTCCTATATAAACTGACAGGTTTGTTGTCTTTATTAATGGAATGGTACAGGTGCCGGTATCCCTTTTGCACCTGGTGACATCCCACCTGTTTCAGTAATGCAATAACGGCTCATAGCGTTTTACGTGATTTGAGAACAGGGCTGTTTTCGAGATATAATACATTAATAAGGAATTGCGCTAAAGCAGCCGGTTTATTGCCTGCCAAGTGGTAATTGGTTAAATAAATAAAACATCCTTCCAGCTAAGGTTGGGGAGTCTTAACATACAGGTAGTAGTATAGTGCTCTGGTACCGGGACCAGGCCTGGCGGCATAGGTTAGCTTGTGTTTATCGCGAATGTAAAATGAAATTGTATCTGAATTGCTGCATTGATATGTCTGAATTGCCAATAATCTATCATTTAAGGACAGTTATCCCGGCAATATTTTGTTTGATAACACGATATATCTGCGTCTGCAGTAATATGTAGCTGTGTTCTCACACATAACGCGCGAATTAGCACGCTATGAAATAATTGTAATCTTATGGATTATTGTTGTGAATTCTTATATAAATCATAATATAATATGATATGTACTTTTTTTAAAGCGGTCTTGATTATATATATGAATACATAAAGACAGACAGATAAATATACTACTCTCACTGAATAACACTTTTTTGGAGTCCTTTTTAACAATGCAATTTCTTTGTCTCACTATGCTATTGTCACAAAAGACAAAACGCTGCAATATGTTTACGGTAAAAAAATGGCTTGTAGCCTGGAGGTGACACAGGTCTTTCTGTACCACAGATGCTCTACCTGAGACAAGGGGTCAGACACCGTTCTCAAAGACAGTTATGAGTGCACAATCTGATAATACATTTTAACGTTAACGCCTCATTACACGAGGCCATCCGCATGTTTTGCCCTGCGTAAAGTGGACATCTGTCAAAAACGCTGTTCATAACAATTCTATAATAATCAAATTTATTCATTTAACATGACATTATTGGGTTAGTTAAATGATGCTTGATATGAATGGTATTTAACAACCATTGTTTGATTAACAACAAAACTAAATAGTTTATACCAGTTCAGATATTATAATTTTATAAACGTGATTCCAGAATTTCCAGTATATCCTTAAAACAAATAAGCATATTTATTCATTTTTTTTTCATTATTTATATTATTTATATTTTATATTTTATAAGAGTTTATTTGTCATCATTTGTACTTTTATTTCAAAAGACAAAAGTCACTTTCTCTTATCATCTGACTTTTTCTTTTCCCAGAATCCTCAGACAAGAATCAGTGCTCCTCAGACGGCTCATCATTATGCTCAAAACACAAGAAGCCCAGAAAGGCTAGAACCGCGTTCACAGACCATCAGCTAAACTGTCTAGAGAAAAGCTTCGAAAGACATAAATATCTCAGTGTACAGGACAGAATGGAATTGGCATCTAAACTCAACCTGACGGATACCCAGGTGAAAACCTGGTACCAGAACAGAAGGTAAATTATAGCACGGATTGAACAGTGATAGAATTATATCTAGATCTCGGTTAAATATCGTCAATGCCCATCGTAATGTATTTTTTAAAACATCTGGAAATAGTAACAATGAAAATTAACTTTTTTCCCCGACAATAATTCATTTTGCACCATGCCGGCAAACACATTCGTAGCAAGTAATATATTTTTGACACTTTACGGAAACAAAAACATGTATACCTATCTGTGGTTAATAGATTATAATGCGGTCATTTTAAACAGTATACTACAGTCAACAGCAAATCTGTGATAATGTTTCTTTGCATAATGTCGCTAACCTTACCGAGCTTTAACGGTACTATATCAATACTATTCTTTATATTTCGATGTTAAGACTAGCTAAATAATATATTAGAAGAATAATTGATTAAACTATTTAACAAGTCAACAATAGAAAGTGGACTGCACAAAAAATAAACCAATCAAACAAAACATCAAAATTAACGTGCCTGATTTTATATTTATATTTAAAATTGTGATATGTAATTGCATAATTTTTGGCAAGATACTTTTATTAAAAAAACAAAAAATTAAAAACATGTTTTTTATAAGTGTTTCATCATATTCAATATTGGCTCAAATTAATAAAACCTTTTATATAAAGCCATGCCTACATGTTTCTTACTACAATCCCAAACTGATACTATAACTAATAAGATATTTTAACATAACTATGAAAGTCACAAGCGATGAATGTACCTATCAGACTAGTAGTGAAATTAATGTATTGTATTTTTATCAGACCTCTTCTTCGCAAAAATAACAAATGCAGGCTCCATATTCTAATAAATTTCTTCTAAAATATCCGAGCATTTTGATGCCAACAAGAACAACATTAAACTTGGAGTTAATACTACAGAGATGAAGCCGTTTTGTCTGTGAACAAAGACAATGTAGCTGATGTAGACAGCCAGACACATTGCTCGGCTAATATAAGTTATGACAGTTAGCGCGAGACTCACTGTAACGTCTTCTGTTGGCCAATCGGAAAAGATTTTAATGCGCCCGGAAAGTTATTACAACTGAACAAGCAAGTGTCTCTGCTTGAGTGAGTTAGTTACGGAAGCTCAATAATTGCTCCGACAACTCTTAATTAGCAATAACTGAACATTGTATTTACGCGTTGTTGTCCCCGGAAGAGCAATGAAAAATGCTTTAATAGTATAAATCAGGAGTCGGCTTTCTTAAGTGACAAAATCCACCAATTGTGCCAAAATTTTATATTGATAGCGCTAAGGTTCCGGGAAATATTTTTCAGTAAATTGTTACTTTGTTTTTCTGCTCTCTGCGCCCTGTTGCGTTTAAGAAAAGAAATCCACTATGTTAAAATATCCTGGATCGTTATAGGAACATAATCGAAAATTGTGAATCAAAATAATCTGAAACACTATAATATGTATAGACTTAATAAAAAGACTTTGAAGTATTGCCGTTGTTATATTAATGCATGATAACATATGCCTGCGCTATCTTAAACTTGTGAGATATGAGATAATTTATTCATATATACTTTTTATAAGCACGATTGTTTTGGAGAGTTTCTAAACGTGCCGTTTAATCGCTTCATTTGTCGGAAGTACATCCACCAATCCTATGTGTCTACCAGCTGATATTCTCACGCTAAATAATAAGCAATGTATGAAAAATTAAAACAGATATTCTTAAACAAATCAGAAAGCATATGCTTGTACAAATATGTTGGTATATACATTTAGAAGCCATAAATTACACCATCTCTTATAGTTCTTTTTAACTATATTTTTTAGAACAAAGTGGAAAAGACAGACATCGGTTGGTTTGGAACTTCTAGCAGAGGCCGGAAATTACAACGCTTTCCAAAGACTCATGCACTCCAGCAATTACTGGTCCCCCTATCACCAGCAGGCCGCGCGAATGATATCGACACTGGATTCCTATTATTACCGGTCCGGAAGTTCCGCAGCACTATCTTCTCAGCGTCCAATGATGCCTCGGATGTACATTCCTGGAATGAGTTCTTTGCCGTCATGACCTAAACGTGATATCCATTCGCGTTAATGACAAGACAGACAGTATTCATTTATTCTAACAATTGCAACAGGTACATTGTCCTTGGTTTCAGGCAATCTTAATCCTTTTATTGTATTTTGGATATTAATTCATTGTTATAACTGTGTTCTTGGACATTCTTGTTTAAACGTATGGTATGCAGTGGTAAAGTTCAGAGGTCATTTGTCCGTATTAGTCTGTTGTAATAATCGACAGACATATCCCGTTTCACAGACAGGAAATTTCTGAATCAAATGTTAATCAAATTTGATTTATTCAAAATTATCAGTTTTGTTGTTTTGCTATTTCTTTTACGAATAGATACAATTATTTGAATATAAGTGCTGGAAGAAAAGATATGATTTCCTGGTCAAATATGAAATATTCGAAATTACACCGTCCAGTGTGACAACCGGTGTTAGACCTGCAAATCCAGCCACCGTATTGTAATGCTACACACTAGGTATTTCTGATGGTAACATTTGGAAATAGGGATCAATAAAAAACACTTTCAAAGCACAAAATTGTGCTGAAAGAACATTTTTATTTAGTTCAGGGGCACTATGTCCGAGATAAAAACAACAACTAGGGTAGGCTCAACCAAGTTTAGACGATGTAAAAGATAGCACAGGGTATTGTATATTTATTCGAATTGATAATGATAAAATGCGCAACTATATATAATCTGAACTTTTTATTTTATAGCTTTTGATACTTCAATACACTCCAACTGTTACTTGCAACATTTTCAAATTTTGCAATGCAAGTCATTATACAATATTTGTATATAATTGATATCAATGTATCTTCTGAAGCGAGGAAACCTACAAGTCGTATATCTTATTTCAGCAAAATATTTACTTTAAAATTAAATGCAACTGCGATTTGACATTTGATCTACCATTAATATTGCATTGAAATTAATATGAAATATTATTATTTCATTAAGAGGATAATCCTTTCATGATATAAATGCATGTATGTAATGTATATCTGGCATTGTTTCAGGTTTTTGTCTTGAATATGCATGCAAAATAATCAATATACCCTATTCAGCAATAAATGGGATTATTTATACATTTTTGTATTATTGCTCAAATACGGTAAAATGAATGGGAGTTAGTACTGGGTACCTGGAACCTTTTAGAGTGTTTTTATCATTGTCTACGCGGTCTTTTATTTAGTGACTGTGAACTGCATACAATGTTGTTACAACAATTTGTAAATAAAACTCTTAATTTATTCTTATTCGTTTTGTTATTACCTGATCTAACTCGTTCCAGTTGATAGCCTAATTCAAGACTGTATTAAGAAAAAATATAACAACTTTTGAGTGACCTTATCATAATTAATGTACCCTTGAAAGCATTTTGAAACTTCGATAATAATTAAATACCTGGAGCAGGTGATAATTTTGATTCCTTCTTTTCTGAAAGCATGGCTATGTAACTAATATCCTCCTGTAAGTAGGACGTTAACTATATCCTACTGTAAGTAGGACGTTAACTATATCCTACTGTAAGTAGGACGTTAACTATATCCTACTGTAAGTAGGACGTTAACTATATCCTACTGAGAGTTTTAAACATTTCACTTGTAGATACAATCCTCTAACATCCATTAGAAATATGACAAAATCTTTCGCAAAGCCGGCAATTCTTGAAATATTTACGTATTTCCATTTGGCTATTTAACATAAAATTGTTTCTGCTTTTCAATTGGAAAACCGTTGTTGATTTTATAATGTAAAAAATAATATCTGATAATTTCTATTTAAACTGATATTGGGGAAGGCACACAAGTATATCGTCACAAGGAATCAACAAATGACCTAGCGTCACGAAAATGGGAAAATTCCGATGACGTGGAAAATGGCGACGTGATGACGTTAAAGAAAATATGTTATAATGTATCAACCATTTAAGTCACAAGGATGGATTTTTTTTCTTTGCAAACAAAATTATAGACGGCGCATACTAAATATCACCAGGGTATACAGTGTAGTAAATATCACCAGGGTATACAGTGTAGTAAATATCACCAGGGTATACAGTGTAGTAAATATCACCAGGGTATACAGTGTACTAAATATCACCAGGGTATACAGTGTACTAAATATCACCAGGGTATACAGTGTACTAAATATCTCCCCAGCCAATGTAGTTTTTCGCTCAAAAAGCTCAGAGGAAATGTTGAAAACGAAAGTCTGTTAGTGGGATAAACAAATCGTTCGTGCCTTAGAGTGTAAGATTGAGAAATATTAGCAAACACATATCAATTATATCGTAATTATGACACAGTTGTACAATATTAATCTTCAATTTTTCAAACAAAATTCAAGATTTCAAAACACGAATAAATTAGTCAAAGTATTTTTAGTTATTGAAAGCAAATTTGTTTCATAACAACCAAGCAGTATAAGAATGAATGAATGACTACCTCTTACAGCTAAAGTGCATAATTTATATATAATTAATATATATAATTGCAAAGAATGGCAGCTTTAGAGTAGTTTATTTCGCAATGTGTATTTATTGGTGTAGCTATATACATCATGGCTATGTTATGGTTGCTATAGTGAAAAGGGAAGATGCCTATCAAACCCTATATACATGTAACGTTATCAAACCCTATATAACGTTATCAAACCCCATATAACGTTATCAAACCCTATATAACGTTATCAAACCCTATATAACGTTATCAAACCCTATATAACGTTATCAAACCCTATATAACGTTATCAACCCCCATATAACATTATCAAACCCTATATAACGTTATCAAACCCTATATAACGTTATCAAACCCCATATAACGTTATCAAACCCTATATAACGTTATCAAACCCTATATAACGTTATCAAACCCCATATAACGTTATCAAACCCTATATAACGTTATCAAACCCTATATAACGTTATCAAACCCCATATAACGTTATCAAACCCTATATAACGTTATCAAACCCTATATAACGTTATCAAACCCCATATAACGTTATCAAACCCTATATAACGTTATCAAACCCTATATAACGTTATCAAACCCCATATAACGTTATCAAACCCTATATAACGTTATCAAACCCTATATAACGTTATCAAACCCCATATAACGTTATCAAACCCTATATAACGTTATCAAACCCTATATAACGTTATCAAACCATATATAACGTTATCAAACCCCATATAACGTTATCAAACCCTATATAACGTTATCAATCACCACATTTAGCTGCAACAGATCATTTATACTTTAACTAGAATTTTCATGAAAACCTTGCCAAAACGGTTTCAGCGGCAATTAATGTTGAGACCAACTGCGGGAACAGATATTCTGCCGAATAGAATAGGAACTGAATTTTAATTTCTCGATTAACCCGTTCCCTATAAGGATACGTGGATGCGTACATGCATGCGTGTACCCTCAATCTTCTAAGCTCATTCATCCATTACCAGTTGAACTTCGTTTCTTTACGCTTATAACAATGGGGTGTTTTTCACAGAGCGTTGCTAGTGCGTTGTATTTTAGAGCTAAAAGAACATGTATGCTAAGATTTAATTGTTCAATAAATATATTAATTCCTTTATAAAAAGCGACGATACATCATCAACATTGTTGAGATATTTACATACATTGTAATTGTCCAATTTCATAATGTTGCTTTGTAATGCGTTTGGAAATTTAGAAAGGTTGCTGTTATCAATTAAGCATACAAAGTTATTAATCGTTACAATGTGTATGATCTCTATAAAATTGGTTATTAATTTTTATACGATCATATTTAAACAAAATGTTAGCCATATAATCAGTTAATATATACCTACATGTGTAAGGTACACATATTGTGTTAAATTGTTCGGCGTCGCCCAAGTGAACATTAATTGATTTGAGTATGTTGACACCTTGTCGGTTAACTGTAGGAGTCGTACGTTCTGGTTAACTGCTATCTGAGTATATAATGTTGTCCCCTTGTCGGTTAACGATGGGAGTCGTACGTTCTGGTTAAATGCTATCTGAGTATATAATGTTGTCCCCTTGTCGGTTAACTGTAGGAGTCGTACGTTCTGGTTAACTGCTATCTACGTATATAATATTGACACCTTGTCGGTTAACTGTATGAGTCGTACGTTCTGGTTGACTGCTATCTGTATGCTCATTATCTGTCTGGTTTTTACGCGATATTTTATATATGATATATTTGACCCTGTAACAAATGTGAAATATTTCACTTAAAACCCAATTACAGTGAAATCTACAGAACGACAAACAAGTTCTAAAAATAAACAACACTGCGTGAAAACAGTACCGTCGAGGAATCATTTATAGTGATCATAGCGCTTGTTGTGATACGATTTCAAATTCTGTCATTACAAACCAGTAGTTAATAATGAATGCGATCTGGTATCTGATAACGTATCAAGTCGGGTATACCTTGTACATGCCATTAATCTGATGCCGTCACTGATGTTAGTGATAGTATATAACAAAGATTGTTAGAAATGATATAACTATTTAACAGCAGCGAGAGTTGCAGACTGTCTGTCAAATCAGTAACAGTTGCTTTGTTTGCGGACCAGTTACTACAGTAACCCAGTGATATTCATTGTCGCTAAATACATCTATGCAATAGCGAATATTTTTGACTTAAAAGACGGCACCATTAGTCAGTTATTAATTTCTTCTTTTTTACAATTTTCATGAATCGTATATAATGCAACATTATTTGTACGTTTACCATGTCTATGTAACTATCTCTACGACTCTCAGTATACCAGAGATCTGTACATACCATCTCTAAACCTAACCCTAACCCCTATCCCTACATTTTCCAATGAAAAATAATATGTTTACTCACTATTTTCAAATATCACTAGTCTACACATTCACAATTTCTAAAAGAATATTAATCTGCATTTCAACCATTTCAAGAATAACATAAGTCGGTTTTCCCTTTATTTTCAGTATAATATAACTACGTTTACCCTCCATTTCCAGTAAAAGTATAATCACCCATCTTTTCCAGTATAATGTTAGTCTGTCACCAAACATTTCTACAATAATATTAGTTTCTTAACCCACCATTTCCAGTAAAAGTCTGTTAACCAACTCTTTCCAGTATGAGTCTGTTGACCCAACATTTGCAGTAAAAGTCTGTTTACTCACCCTTTCCAGTATAATATTAGTCTGTCACCCAATATTTCCAATATGTTATAAGACCGAGAATAGAGTATCAAAAACCTATTTAGCTACCGTGTAGAATAAAACATCATTTATATTTACTTGCGGTGTACAATGTGACATAGATGAATTTAATATAATGTCGAAATTGATATTAAAATATGTGATGTGATTTGGGTATGTTTTATCTACATTTACAAAGCAAAACAGGCAACGTATGTGCGAGACTTTCAATAAAACAATAAGCTTTTGATCTGATGTTAAATATTTGAAACACCTAACAAAACAATATAATACTGGATAATCTGACAGGAGTCTCATCACTTGAGGCCAGATCACAGAATACAATACATCCAACAAACAAAGATGTAAGTGTTTAATTACATATCACTGTCATGCATGCTATCGATGTGGCAGTTACACACAGCAGACATTTGGAAAGTTTGAGTTTAGATATTCCAATCAATATTTTTGTTAGATTCTTACTATAAATCTTATATTTAGATGGTTTTTATTTGGTAGGTATACAGAAATAGTATTTTAGTTGTCAGAAACAACGCAGCAGATACACTTATATTAATTGGAGATAAACTGTTGATGTACAAATTAGCTCTAAAGTGACTCATAAAATGTACTCTGATTGTGGTAAAATTAATCGGATGGATTCCAACCAGGAATTTTCCTATCATCAAATTGAATAAAATTGTTTATGTATAGCCAATATAAAATTGCTCCATATCAAATATTTACGAATGAATAACAACAAAAGCCATAAAAATCTATTTCGATCGTAACATATTTCTACGTTAGTCATCGAATCGCTACATTTCAATCTTAAACTAACGTGGGGAAGATGTTGATCGTAAAATCACATGATTTAGGTTTCTATATGTCTTATGTTTTGATTTAATCGGTGGAAAATTGTCGTTTTAAATAATCTATTCAATCAGTAATATATATGATAGAGGATGAGAGGGTGATCGACGAAAGGCGTTGTGCTACCATGTCGAGGCCAATCTTGTATGTTCTAGGAAACACG